GATCATATAGTGGTGCTCTCCATTGTCTAAGCCATTGTTTAATATTACACACAATATGAGGCTCGCCTTAAGGCCCACCTCAATGCAATTTTGGTGAAAAATACTTTGAAGCTTATAGAGAACTTAAGGTGGCGCCTAATGGAGAAAAGTCGACAAGCACATTCTTTTGTCCCTGAAGCACAAACAAATTTGACTTGCTAGTGTCAATTAGGGGTGTCAATATTGGACCCGACTTGAAAACCTGACCCGAACTCAACACAAAAATTTTGGGTTTTGGTTGACCCGAATCCAAAACGGATTGGGCTCGGGTTCAACAAATTGAACCGTTTCAAAATCGGGTTACGTTCGGGTTGACCCGTTGACTCAAAATTGACCTGTTTTTGACCTGAAAACCTGACATTGACCCGTCGACCCGAGATTGGCCCGTTTTTTTACCCGAAAAATAGTTTGACCCATTTCTGGACCCGAACCAGCAGTTTTTTGTTTGCACTAGGTCATTCGGGTCGGGTTGGGTTGACCCGAACCCGAAGCGAGTCTGTTTCGAGTCCGGAAAATCGACCCGGTTCGGGTTGACCCGAATAGTGCCGGGTCAGTTTCGGGTTCAACCCGACCCGTGACCCGTGATCTGAAATTGACACCCCTAGTGTCAATTAGGTAGTCTGTGGACTTTTATTTATCTCCATCGTGTGGCTAATAGGTTCCTTTCGTGAATCTAAGGAAAGATTCTCGCTGCTCAAGAAATTTAGTAAGTAAAGTTCTCCTATCAACTTAAAAAGGGCTTTCTCAAGTCGACCTTTCTTTAGGTTCAATGGCTTGAAGCTGACGTCGCTCGAGTTTTTTTAATGAGACATGCGCCTCAGTTTGATTGAGGCCCGCTTTGAGCTCAGCCTCACTTCACTAACGTGAGCCATATGCTTAAAACTTACCTAAATTTTAAACTAAAGCCCCAAACAAATCACACTATCATACACCCCCGAGCTGCAGCAGCTTCCTCATCGTAGCCATCACCGCCTTGCTTGACCTGCAGTCCGTCACCTTCATCACAGCCGCCATCGTTATAATCGTCGCTAGGGATCACTTGGAAGCCGCATACCACCACGACTTCTTCTAAAAATGCTGTAATATTACTATCATTTTTATGTTGACAACTATCCAAATCGCTAAGAATTTTTCTACTTTATTTTTTTAATTTCTTGCCTACATTGGCGACTAACCAAATCAACATATTTCATAGATTTGTCATTTGTTGGCTAATCACAGCTTGACATGTTGCTTACTTGCCAGCCTTATCCAATTTAGTCAACTAACATGACGAGTCAAGTTACACCAAATTTTTTGGAAGGTCTCTCATGAGAGCGGCTAGGGGTGTAAACGAGTCGAGTATTGCCTAATCTAGCTAAACTTGTTTAGTTCTTACAGAGCTCGAGCTTGACTCATTAAAACATTTATAGGTTTGATCTTTGCTCGATTACTCGAGCTCGTTTGGAAAGCACAAGCTTAACTCGATTGTTGAGCTTGATTTTTTAGTTTAAAATTAATTTTTAATATAGAACTAATTTATAAATCTTAATATATATTATATAATGCTAATTTAAATTTTTTTAAAATATATTTTAATTCAATCGAGTGGCTCAACGAGCCGAGCCAGGCTGAGCTCGTGCTCGTTCAATATATGAGCTCGAATATAGGTTTGAGCTCAAATTTGTGGCTCGATAAGCTTGACTTGCGAGTTTGTTAATGAGCTCTCCAGCCGGCTCGGCTCACTTACTCCATAAGAGTGGCCAACTTGATGAGTCGTAGTCTCAATGTTATTATTTTATTTAAATCACCCCAACCTTTAGGTTAGGCTTGCCTTGGTCCGCAGGATCCCCTAGAAAAAGCCACTGATGCTAATTGAATTGTCACTCGATGAGGGACATGCGGACATCTTTCATCCATTGGATGTAGAGTCAACCTCATGAACTTCATAGCAGTTATGGCGAACGACTAGTTGGGACTACAACTCACTCGTCGACCAAGTTCGTGATGAGCCATCTCCCCTATATGATAATAAGACTCTAAGGCAAAGTCTACATTGATTCAACAAGTTCCACGCTTGCCAGACTATCTACCTTGTTACCCCAATAGGTTTAATGCATGCCGAATGATTTTCTTGATACATTGCAATTTTTGATTTGACATGCCCCCCAAGAATTACCACTAAAGCCGACAATGCTAATTGCTTGGGTTTCTTGACGAGGGGCACTTAAATCTCCTTGTCCTTTAGCTGTGTGGTTCCCTACTCATCCTGGTTGTTATGACATACTTTTTAATGGTGAATAACATGGTTTAAATCGGTGAACTTGAAAATTGAGATGTTTTTTCTTAGCGAGATAAAATGCAAGCTTTGAAGTCAATTGAGGTGTAAGCCTCAAACCCAAAACAAATCCTAAAATTATATATATATATATATATGGCCGTCGGCCACCCCTCACCCTTTCTTCAAGCCGCCGGTCATCCCTTCCCCCCCAAGCCGCCGGTCCCAAGCTCATCTCCTCCACCTAGCCACTGGTCCCAAGCCCCACCTCCTCCACTTAGCCGCCAGCCCAAGCCCCAACCTTCCCTCATCCTCCTCTCCCTCTTACAGCCTCCGACCACTCCCCTCCTTTCCCTCTTAATGATGATTTCAATCATCATTACTACCTACATAAATTAGCCTAAATAATTTGGGAAAGAATTAATTCAATTTGAATTTCAAATTTGAATTTCAAATACTTTCTTAAATTAACTAAAGCTAAATTAGGAAAGTTCCTAGATTCAACTCTAATTTAATTTTAAATTAGATTTGATATCATTATCTTATTCCTAAATTAGGATAATAATTAAGGAAGCTTTTAATTCCCACCTAATCCCCTTCCGCATGCATCCCCCCCCCCCCCCCCCCCCCTTCTCACAAGCCTTCTCTTCTCTCTCTCTTTCTCTAATTCAATTACCCCATTACTTGAATTTCAAATTTCAATTCCCTTTTCCTAATTAAACTAAATCTGAAAATTAATCTTAGATTTTAGTTGCATTTCCATACTCCAAACCCTAAACCCTAACTTCATAAAACAAGCCCTTCCCTCCCTTGGCCGACCCTCTCTCTCCCTCTTGAACTTTCTTCTTTCATGAGTTATCTTCCCAGATTAGAAGAAGATAGCCATCCCTTCCCGACTTTCTTATTAGTGCATGGCCAATCCCGAGTGTAACCATGGATTCGTCTACGACCACCAAAGCTTAGTGGATATTCTTCAATCCCCTTTCTTTGACCTCAATTTGGAAGTTGACGACTCCCTCGAAGAATACGTCAATCACATCCTATTCACCTTGGCACCTTCTATCGTAGAACATCTACCCTCAGGATATTGGCGAATTATCGGACATCCAACCGCGTCTCCCCCTCCAACTAACTTTCCGTGGATCAAGACACTTGGTGTTCTATCACTTTTGATGGCATCGTTAGGATTGCTGAGATTCTCCTTCCGCTAAGACCTTTAAAAGAGCGTGAGTGAGGGAAACTCAAGATAATTTTTCTAACTATCAAGTGGTGGATTTAAAGTTTACAGCATTTAAGTTTATGCTTTATGATTGAAGTAATTTTAAGTTCTTGCTATTCTACAATGTAACCAATTTCCATAACTATATTGATATTTTTAAATTCCTAAAATCCCATCTGGTGAAACATTAGCTTACTGTTACATCAGAGAGTGTGAAAGAAGATTCACGATAAACACTCACTTAAAATCTAAATATGCTAAGAATATGGGGATTCGCAGCATAACTACACGTAGTCACAGATTTCGTCACTTGCAGTCAACCTTTTGCAATAGTCACCACTCTTCTCCCCACTGTGCTTTTTGCTGCCATGCTATTTTAAACTATTGACATATATGAGTTATGGCGATATACAAGTTGGGCAATGCTATGCCTCACTTGCTAGCCAAGTCATCGGGTTGACCGGGTCTATTTTTGTCAGTTGAAACTTGTCTCCGCAAACCATTTTGTTTTGATCATTTTCTGGTTAGACAAACTTACATATAGTGCAGCTGAATCCATTCTGACCAACGACTCTCAGTTAGCTCAGACACAAATGATTATCTTATATATAAATTTCTTCCATAGAGCAAGCACCTTTTGCTTTGACCCATGGGCGACATCTCCAGACCTTTATCTGTTTCCTTGATCTAAAATTATCTCGGCCGAAGGCTCAACCTGCGTAATGTCTACTGCCTTCCTTGCCTCGCAGGCTGCGTGGTGCCATCCTAATATCAGACCATTTTTCACATTAACGGAAGTAAAAATTTATTTCTTGGGCCAATTCATTTGTGCATCTGCAAGATGTAAATGCCATGCAATCAGAGTTATTTACTTTTTAGTGCTTTAATCTGCAAGCACTCCAAATGAAACGAATTAAACAGCCCCAGAGAGTCTCTATTTCACGATGAATTATTTTGTGCGGATGCCGAACGCCGTCCAGAGCCCAATGAAAATGCGCCATGTCACCTCCTACTCGGTAGAGCAGCTCGGTACTCTGCTCGGTACCGAGCTCGGTACTGGATTACATGGCTGCACATGATTTGTTTCTAGATGGTAAGCTGTGTCCGATGTCCGCACTGAATAATCTCTCTTATTTCACTGCCCTTCCGTTTGACAGCTATACTGAGTGGCATGCTTTTGTCAAAGTACATCTCTTTTATTGCATAGATATATGTTGCATTTATAGTTCAAGATTGTGTGATCCAGCATTTTTGTTTGATAAACAAGGTCATCGCTGCCTCATTGCAAGCCTGCAAGTTAAACTTAGGTCTCGTTTGGGATGGCTTTCTTATTGCTTTTTAAAGCAGCTTTCTAAAAAGCTATTTAAAAAAGCAGTAAGAAAGCCATCTCAAACGAAGCCTTAATGTGTGGTCGCAAAGTTTTTTTTGTGCTGCTCACAGTAGCAGGGCATGTTTCACCCTAATCATCTCTCTTTATTTTCCCAGCGATGCGCTCGTGATTACCGAGTTCTATTAGCCGAAATCCTTACAGCAGATTCAGCTGCCCGGAGTTCAGAAAATGAGAAGAACTTTCTCAACTCATGGTCAGAAGCTAAACGGGTTCTAAAGCCTGATCCCAGATACTCGAAGATGCCAAGGAAAGACAGGGAAGCTTTATGGCTAAGATATGTTGAAGATCTGATGAGAAAGCAGAAGTCTGGAGCTGACACAAAAGAAAAGTTTAATTCCGAAGGAAAGAACAGAAGCCCTGCTGATGCTTCGCGGAGATCACCAAGGAGATCTCATGTTCGGAGATAACCTAAAATTTCCAACAAATTTTCATATAGAACTTTAAATGTTCCTCGCAATACCCTATATATCTCTTCATCTCAGAGAACTACTTATTAGCTTCGATGTTTTTTACTTTGTACCATTTTTTTTTAATTATAATCAGGAGCTTAGCTTTTCTTGGTGAATCACTTGATACAAGATCTAATGTTATCCCACAGGTTCGAAGAAGTTTTTGAAGTATTTGTGTTTTGGACACTAAGAGAGAGAAAGATAAGCTTAATAGTTTCATGTAGTGATTTATTTCATTTAATGCTTATTAGTCATTACTTTTATTGTTTGAGAAATGATATCTGAATCATTTTGTCTGCCAATTTCATAAGCGCTTGTGGACCGATTGTCTACTTTCTTCATAAGCAGCTGTGAGATTGAACTCGAAGAAAATCCCAACTTGGAAGATAATGCAGCCTTTGGAAGGTAATAATCAACACAAAAATATCAGTCACCCTGCTCTGGGCTCAATTTTAGGAGAGATTATTATGTGCAGAGATAATTTTTCAGTTTTGTTTCTGTGAATAATAGAGACGCAACAGTGAACAATAAAAGCGTAATAGTGAACAATAAAAATGCAGTGAAGAATAATATATATTTTTTGAAATAAATAATTGTGCAGTGCTTTTTATAATTTTTTTTAATAATTATTAACCCTATGCGCTTTTATTAGACTCACTGCGCTCTTATCCGGAAGCCATTCAGGATACTATTTCCTATTTTCAGACGCTTTTTAACCCTTCGGCTCGGACGGACTTTGATATCAATTTGTTTCTTGCTGGTAACGTGATTCCGACTGATTTTTTACATTCATTAACTATGTCATTCACCGATGCAGAAATTAAAAAGGTTGTTTTTTCTGGAGCATCCAATTCTTCTTCAGGCCCGGATGGCTTCAACTTTGATTTTTATAAATCTACCTGGGTGGTCATTGGACCTACTGTCTGTAATGCTGTGAAATTTTTTCATAGCAATCATTATATGCCCCGAGTGGCTAAGGCTACTGCTGCCATCACCCTTGTTCCCAAGTCCAGTCATGCTGAAGCTATTACAGATTTCCGTCCAATCTCTCTTTGTAACACATGCTATAAAATTATAGCAAAAATCAGAGATAATCAGTCTGGCTTCATCCAAAAAAGGGTTTCTATGGATAATATCCTTCTTGCCAATGACATCCTCTTTCATACTAGAAACTCTTCTAATTCCAACCTGTTTTGTGCTAAACTTGATATTAAAAAAGCTTTTGATAGTGTTTCTAGGGACTTTCTCTTAGCCAGGATGGTACAACAAGGTTTTCCTAGCTTGTTTATTAACTAGATTAAAGCTTGCATAGAGGATATTTGGTTTTCTCTTTGCATTGATGGCGCTCTTGAAGGGTTCTTTCCTTCTTCGGCTGGGCTGAGGTAGGGGTGTCCTCTTAGTCCTTATCTTTTTTGCATTGTGATGGATGCTTTCTCCTGCCTTATTGATCATCCACCCTATAACAATAATTTTGAAGCAATTAACGTAGCGGGTTCCAGGTTATCTCACCTTATGTACGCGGATGATCTCATTATATTTGGAAAAGCTAAAGTTGATAATTGTGAGAATCTTTGTCACTTGCTTAAACTCTTCTTTGATGCCTCCGGTTTACAGGTCAATTATACTAAAAGCTCCATTATTCTACCTCATAACTGTCATGTGGCTGATAGTATTTGTACCATTTTTAACATTCCTTGCTCCTCCCCATTTATTAAATACCTTGGGATTCCCATTTCCTCTTACAAACCAAAACTGGCTAGTTTTTCCAGTTTGATGGAATCGATCACTCATAAGCTCTCTGGATGGAAAGCTAAAGTCCTTTCTTTTGCTGTTAGACTGCAATTCTTAAGGTTTACTATATGGAACACAATTGCTTATTGGATTTGGGGGTCTATATTACCTAAAATCATTGTTAAGAAAATTGATAGACTATGCGCCAAATTTATGTATTTTGGAGACAATACTAGTCGTAAGTTGCATTTAATCTCTTGGAGAAACACCTGTAGGCCGAAGGTTTTTGGTGGTCTTGACCTTCCGTCCTTAACTTCGCTTCAGCTAAATAACTGCTCTTTTATTGAAAGAATTTATAATGACCGTAGTCCCTCCTCCACATGATTTCTATACAAATATGTGTCTCCTTGAAAACCTCTTGGTTCTAAATCTTCTGCTTTCTGAAAAAATGTGAGTGATACTGCTATGAAATCTAAAGAGAACCATCATTTCAAAATCTGCTTTTAATGCTCCTATATCCCTCTACTGGGATCACTGGTGTTATAAAGACCCTTATTAAGCATGTTCCCTATCAATGCTAATATCACTGCCATTTTAAATGAATATGGTTGGGTGTTGCCCATGGCATTACCTGAGTTTGTATCACAAAAACTCAATGCAATTGATGTTAATATGAATTCTCAAGGTTGCTTATTCTGGGGAGATGGTAAGGAAAGCACTCACAGTTCCTATCATAAATTTTTTTACAAGGACTTACCTATAGTCTATGTTGTACCGATACGGATACGGCGACATAGATACGACACGATATGGATACAGGATACGTCAATTCTTAAAAATACAAATACGGGTACGGCGCGGACACGGCATTATAATTTATAATCATACATAAAAATTAAGAAATCAATCAAAGCATAATATTTGAACAAAAAAATGACAACAACATCATTTGTAGCCTTGTAGCTTATAATATAAAAATATAAGTAAGCATTAAATGTCTAGTACAACAAAAGTATAAACATAAATTATCTAGCACATAAAGTTTCAACTATTCAATAGAATGAATGATATAATTATCTTCTTCATTGGTTTGTCTTTGAACTTCTATATCATCTTTAATAAATATCATAGCTTCTAATTCAAGTTCATCAAATGAAAGATTAGTAATTTTTAATATTTTCATATCATCAAGAGACTCAAATTCATCTCAGAAATGAGAGAATCTTGCTCGCAATCGCGGAAGTAAATACGACGCGTCATTTTTCTTCGGATTTCTTTGTTTTTCAACGGACACGCGTATCGAATATGTTTGTCCTTTTGAAATTAAATAGCATTTTAATTAGATAAAGCTTTGGCGTATCCGACACATATCGGTGGAGTATCGAAGGCGTATCCGTGTATCGGTGTATTGGATACGGCACGCCTTCATAAATAGGTGTATCAGTGCAACATAGCCTATAGTTAACTGGTATCAATTCATTTGTCACAAACGTTATGTCCTAAGATACTCTACTTATTGTTGGATGGCGGTTAATGGGGGTAGGAAAACAACTGATATTCTTCGTCCTAAGGGCATCACTATTGATGGAACCTGCTCTCTTTGCAATACTGAAGCTGAACCTATTTCACACCTATTTTTTGAATGTGACTACTCCTTCACTGTTATTTCTATGTTAATGCCTAACCTGGGGGCCCTTCTCCTAAGACTAAATATTCTCCAAGCATTTGAATGCTATGCTTAGAAATCTGCTAGGATGAAGTCTTTTTACTACCTGTTAGTCAATATATCATATTTGGAGGGAAAAGAATGACAGAAAATTTGGCAACACATTTTCTTCTTCTACTACTTTAAGCCAGAAAATTAAAGCCTTGGTTTTATCAAAAGTACTGAAATGGAAACATGGGAATTTTCTAATGGATCTGCTGTAGTTTTGTGTTGGGTGAGTCGACAGATTTTCTTCTGTCCAGGTGCTGGCTGGATTGGTAGTTCGGTGTGGCTTTATCATCATTTTTCTTCTATGATCGGTGCTTGAGGATTCTGTATTTTTTGGAGGGAAATGATGATTGGATTGCTGAATTTGTCTCTTTGGATGGCAGTATTTTGGCAAGTCGGATTCACTGCAACCAGGTTGACAGAATGTAGCAATTCCTGAGCCGATGGTATCTACCCTCTTCCTCTCTTTGGGAGGTTTTTTTGTGCTGTTCATTTTGGTGGTGTAATTTTTCTTTAACACCACTGATTTTATTCTGTTTTTCTTCTCAGCTGCTTTTTGTTGTATTTTGTTTTCTTAGCTTTTCTTTCTCTTTTCATACGTGTAACTTTTTACATCAATGAAAAACGGGCTAAGCCCACATAACTTCCAAAAAAAAAAAAAAAAAATCCTTATAATCCACCCCAAATCTATAAAATCTCTTTGGTTGGGTCCACTAACACCTATGACAAAGTAGACTAGGGGCTATGACAACCCAAAAGGATCTTAATCATGTTCGCCATTTTTGATTACTTCACTAAACATTTAATAAACACTACCGTTCCCAGGTCCTAAAAGTCATGAATGAGAAAAGTAGGGGATTGCGTTAGATAGTCGACGACAACCAGCGTAAAACTTGTCGAATAATCATGACATGAATCATTTAAAAAATTTTGGCAAAAAAGGATACATGTAGCCAACCCCGCATAGTTGGACAAATGCTTGATGTTGTTGTTGTATTAAACATTTAATATAAGATATAAATATTTTTCTTCAAATTCATTCTATTTAATACAATAATATTACAGATTTTGAAAGCTTTTCATAAAAGAACAAGAAAGGAGAAAGAGACGAAGGAGCCAGACAAAAGATGAAATTGATATTGTATTCCAAATCATAAGAAAAGTGTACAGAGAAAGGAATATATATAAAACTAAAGGTAGGCAAAACAGTAAATACATAGAAAGAACTAAAGGGTACAGCTTATAGTGCTAATATCCTCCCTCAAACTAAGCATTCGGAGGCCGAATGGTTAGTTTGCTACGAAGATCGAGGAACCGAGCAATAGAGAACGGCTTCGTTAAAATGTCAGCAATTTGATCTTGAGAGGAGATGTGCTCGAGCGTGATTTGGCCGGATTCAAGTTGCTGACGAATGAAGTGATAGTCGATCTCAATATGCTTTGTTCGTGCGTGAAACACCGGATTTTTGGCGATGGCCATGGCCGATGTGTTGTCGCAATGAATTGTAGTTGGAGTAATCTGCGGTATGGACAACTCAGAGGCGAGGCGGCGAAGCCAGATGACTTCAGATGCTGCAGCGGAGAGAGACCGGTACTCGGCTTCAGTCGAGGATTTGGCAACAGTCACCTGCTTTTTCACCGTCCAGGAGATGAGATTAGGTCCAAGAAATGTACAGAAGCCAGAGACAGATTTCCGATCGGTAGGATCAGACGCCCAGTCGGCATCTAAATATGACCGAAGGTCCAGCGAACCATGCGTGATTGGGAGACCGAACGATAGTGTTCCTTTGAG